AACGGTAGTGAGGTTGGCCCAGGATCGGGCAGTGTTTCATTCTGCTGTGCATAAGGTCACTATGAGTTGATACCGACTCTATGGCACCTAACAACAACAACAACAATGTGATGACTAAACAGTCAGGTAGCTTAGTAGTTATGAGTTGGGCTGCTAACCTCAAGGTCGTCAGTTCAAAATTACCCCCATTTCACAGGGGAAAGATGAGGTTTTCTGTTCCCATAAAGATTTTACAGCCTCAGAAATACCATGTAAGGTTGCTATGAGTTGGAACCGCCTCCAAGACACACCACCACCACCACCACCACCAGTGTGATGGCTGCAACGGAGTTCCCACCCCTGCTATAGAGCCAGGATTCCAACTGCTTTATATAACATGGTGGTGGTGATGGTGTCCTGGTGTGGCGCTGTGGGTTAATGCACTGGACTGCAAAGTCAGTGGTTCAAACTCACTAACTGCTCCTGGGAAACCCTGTACAGGGTCGCTATGGGTCCAATCGACTCAAAGGCACTTCACAGGAGGGGAATCTCACTATTCATCGAAGAGCCAGGAGTGGTGTGCATTCTTTGAACCCCAAGATCCCTTGGCCCAGAGGGGGAAAGCTGTGAGGCTGGAGAACCGTAGAGGTGCAGCATCTGCAGTACCACGAAACAGAGCCCAAGACCGCGCACTGGACTTCCCAGCCCTGAGGGACTCTGGGCAGGAGGCCTGCTTGCAGAGTGGGGACCCTCCAGTCCCCTCAGTAGGTGAGCTAGGTTTGAGGACCCACAAAGCTAGGGCCAAGTGTCTTCAGGCTGCGGCTTAGGGTGGAGTGGTGTGTCCGTCCTGTGGGCATTTCTCAGTAGCTGACTGGAACTGAGGGTCCTGAACCTTGCCCTATGAAATCTTGAGTGCGGTGATTGCAGGTGATTGCAGAGTATTGTGGGAGGTACGGTCCGGTTCCTGTCACGTGCTCTCAAGTCGACTCGTAGAGTTTAGTTTCCAAGGAGTAGCTGGGGGTTTTGAACTGCGGTCCAGGTCTTATCCTACAGAGCCACAGCGGGACCCCTAACCTCACCTACTGCCATGGAGTCAATTCCGACTCACAATGACTCTTGGGCAAAGAAGGAACACCCTTAGGGCTCCTAGGCTGCAAATCTTTACAGATCCGTCTTGGAAGACGCACAGCCATTAGCAGTGCCAATGGCGAGACTTTGCGTCATGTACTTTGAACTCGTTGTCAGGAGGGACCAGTCCCTGGAGGACATCATGCTTGGTGAAGTGGAGAAACAGTGATGAAGAGGGAGACCCCCAACAACAGGATCAGTGTTTTGCTCTGTTGTGTATGGTCGCTGAGCTGGAACAGACTCAACAGCACCAAGCAACCACAATCACTGGCGACCAGTCATTACGGAGGTTTTCTGCCTCATCTGTCTCCTGTGGACCAGCTAGTTGGTTTGAACTTCTAACCTTTTTGTTAAAGCCAAGTGCTTTATCCTCTGTGTCACAAGGGCTACCTCATACAAGCATATACTATTGGATAGATGGCTAACAATTGTTATTGTCGTGTGGTGCCATCAAGTTAGTCCCCACTCACAGCAACCCTATGTACAACAGATCACTGGCCAGTCCAGGGCCAACCTGTCGCTGCTATGCCTGAGCCCACTGGTGCTGTTACTGTGCTAATCCATCTTGTTGGGGGTCTTCCTCTTTTTCTCCGACACTTCCCTTTACCAAGCATGATGACCTTCTCCAGGGACTGGGCCCTCCTGATAAAATATAGTATGTCCACAGTATGAGACGCTTTCTGGCCGTCCTGGCATCCAAGCGTTCTGGCCGCACGCCTTCCAACACAGATCTGTTGGTTCTTTCGGCAGCCCATGGTACTTTCAGTATTCTCCTCCAACAAATGCATCGATTCTTCTACGGCCCTCCTTGCTCAACTGTCCCACTTTTACATATATATGAGGTTATTGAAAACACCATGACTTGGGTCAAGCACACCTTAGTGTGACAATGCCAGCCCTCAAAAAGCAGGGTAGGGTAACCATGGCAACGAAACAGCTATATGACAGGGTGAATGTAAACCTAATGTTCTCCCATGTAAACTATCACATAATTCATAATAAAGGATTAAAACAACAAGCAGGGTACGAAGAGCTGAAAGGGTAACACGAGTTTAAGTTTCCAAGCTAAGACCACAACTCCTGCCGCGGAGACTGTCTGTCCTCCCTCAGTGACCCTGCAGGACCGAGCACAGCTGCTTGCTGTACTGGGCTCCATAGGGGCAGCCTGCTCTCTCACCTGCAGCCGTTGCTGGACTCTAATGCCCAATGCTGGCACCACTGCCCCATGGGGCCTCCCTATGTTAAGTGAGGAAGGAGTCAAGCACAGGTCAGCAGATTCTGACTGGCCCCCAGCAGCCTCTTCAGTCAGTGGACACCAGAGCAAGGAGCTCCTCCTTAAACCCTGCTTACCTCCAGTGGGATTACCATTTCAAACGCAGATGTTGCTGTCCATCAGAATGGGGGTGGGAAGCCCTGTGCCCACAAACCCTGGGTGCTTGAACAGGATGGAGAGTGCTACACCCAAGCCCCACCCAGGCCCGAGCGTGGCCCACAGACCCTCTTGCCTTCAGCCCCTGACAGGGATGGTTTATGGCAGTCAGACCACCTTCCTTGGGGACCTTCCCCTCACCCCATCTGGATGCCATTTTGACTTAGTGGTCGTAGCCAACCTTCGGGCACCCCAGCCAGACCCTGATCCCACATACCTGGGGGATTTCAGTATCTTCAGCTGGGATAGGCCCAGATCAATGAGCCCCATGGGCACATGGTACTTGGCCCAAGTTAGGGAATAGAGAAAAAAACCAAACACACGTGGGTTTCTAATCCAAACACACTCCTTTATTCAAACTAGGGTCAGACTGGTCAGCGGGGGACACACACCCGAGAAAGTCAGTTTCTGACAAGGCCTTGTGCCACTGGGGGTCTTGGGTTGGACTCTCGGGCCAGCCAGGTAGCCAGAGTCAGCCCCAGGGTGCCTGCAAACACTGCCAGTCGGTCAGTTGACAAAAGGAATAAACAAAAACAAAACACATTCAGTAGATTTCTTCCTTAAGCTCCCAGAGTTTCTGGAGCAGAGAATCCCAGGCCCCAAAGCCAGAGCGAGGAAAGATAGGCACCCGCGCCCCTCAGTGCTGACGGATACCCTGCTTTAAATGATAAAGAAGCCAGGAGACAGCGTAGAAAATTCCTCTTAAAAATCTCACAATTTGTAAATGTATATTTTCTTTCAACATAAAAGTTTACAATATATGGTAACACAAAAGGCTCAGGAAAATAATTTCAATTAAAAAAAAAACACAACAAACTAAGAGGAAGAAAAAGAAACCTGAAGACGTGAATTAAAGCTGAAGACAATTTTTAAAAACCCTGTTGTTTGAACCAGTGACTATTTTTTTATTGTGCTGATGGGTTAGAGAAAGAAAGCTATTTAAAATCTCAGTCCGCACACCCACAGCCTGGCCTCCAGAAGCTGCCCGCTGCCCGCCTCTCTGTCAGCTACAGTGATTGTCGCCAGCTCACAGGTCGGGAGTCCTCGGTCTTGGCTGGGCCCGCCGGGCCGGCTAACGTCGGTACGGGTGGAAGCCTTGCACGTTGTGATTCTGACCTCGGCCAAAGCCACTTCCGCCAGCAGGAGGGCCCCCCGATCCTGGCACTGAGGGTCCTCCATAGGAGGGGGGCTGCTGGCTGGGGTCTGAGAAACCCTGTCCGAAGCCACTCAAGTCCTGTCCATAACCTGCTGAGAGGGGAGAGCCCCGTGAGGACCAGCCAGGAGCACGAGGCTCCACTGCCCACGCACGATGCCTGTTTTCCAGTCAGTGCCGGACACAGCACGTGTGTGTGTGTGTGTGTGTGTGTGTGTGCGCGTGTGTGGGGGTGGTGACCACGAGACCCCGTGCTCGCCGGTGCCAGGGCAGAAGGGCGCAAGCACCCCTCATCCCAATTCTGGCAGGGAGACAAGCCCAAGGAGTCCTGAGCTCTCCCAGAACCACTGGATGGGTCATGGAGGGAAGGCATCCCAGCCTGGTAGCCACTGTCCCAAGCTGCCCAGTGGGGTGAGGCAGGGCAGGGCTGCTGGAAGGCCTTCAAGTCTGGAGCAGCAAACACACTGCAGAAAAGTCCCTCCAGTAGCATGCATGGGGGGAGCTGGAGCAGAGTCTGCACCCCATCAAGGGTGACAACTAACGGATACCCCCATTGACCCCTGGCCAGGCCCCAGAGACCCTGTGGGGTCCTCCCCTGGAGGGGGGACCTGGGCCCTGCTAACTTGGTGGCTTCAAAACACCCGTCAACAGGCCACCAAGGAGCATGGCCATCAAAGTGGCTTGGGTGTAGGGGAGGGGGTACAGTGATGGCCGAGGTCCCACCGGCATCGCTGCCTCTCGGGTGGCAGGAAGCTCTGGGACCCAGAGCTGGTGTCCGAGGCTCGGCTGGTGTTGCGGAGCGGGCCCTGGGTCCCTGAGCGGGTGGTGGGCGAGGGCAGCACTCGTTCCGGGATAGACGCGGGAGGGGTCCCGGGAGGAGCGCCACCTACCTAGGCCACATCACTGCTCGGCCTGACCATAAGAGAGTAAACAAAGCAGGGGCCCGAAGCCTGCCGGGTCTGGAGAATAGGAACCCGGGCCTGGTGAGAAACGAGACCAGGGTGACGAACCCGAGGCTGCCCGCGCAGGAGCGGGCTCACACACCCAAGGGCCCCGTGTATCCCCACTCGCCACAAGCCCGCTGCTCTGCAGGGACTGGCATCTCCAACAGCACTCAGAGCAAAGGACTCACCATGGCAGGAAGGGGTAGGGCCAAGAAAGCGGCTGTCATTCAGCCCTTCCCGCCCAGCCAAGAGAAGGGAGTCTGCCAGTGGGCATCAACACAATGCCCCTACGTGACGGTGCTCCTGTGTATGGAACTGTGGTGTGCCTGCACGTGTGTGAGCCCAGCATGGCAGGCATGACCACCTGGGGCAGCATCTAGGACCCAAGTCCGCCCACAGCCACCAGCTAGCTGCCCCTGTCCAGGCCAAGCAGAGGGGGAGGCCCTCACACAGTTCACGTGCCTCCTCACCACAATCCCACCTCCAGAGAGCACAGGTGCGGCTCCAGCTTCGACCATGTGGAAGACCAAGCCGATGCCTAGCCTGAACCCTGCGTCACCCCACGCTATGCCAGGGAACTCCCCTAGGTGGCTGACAAGAGCTCGACGGTGGCCGTGAAGGTGCTACAGCACCCCGCGGGGACGTGTGCCCTTGGCCTGCCCCAGCGCAGGTTCCAGCTCCACGATCTCAGCACCATACTGCTTCCCTGGCAGCCTGTGCCCCCGGCTCGGGTCCCAGAACCTGTTGCTCTTCCACAAGCAAGACCTCATGCCCTGACCTGGGCAGACCCAGAGAGAGCCCAGGCCGGCGTGCAGTCCTGCCATGTCCTGGTCATTGGAGTCCAAGTGGAGGGGAGGAGGTGGAGGCTGCAGAGCTGGCCAGGAGGATGCCACGTGGTGGGAGCACTGCCTGGCACTTACCATACTGACTGTAGGGGAATTCGGGCTGTGCCGTTGGGGGCTTGCTCATGTCCGGGGCAGCCTGTGACGGAGGTGGAGGGAAGGCCAGCGGTGCTGCTCCCGGAGTGGCTGGTGGAGGAGGGACCCCAGGAGGGGCAAACTGGTCAGGTGGCGGAGGCGGAGGCCCATAGCCAAAGCCTGGGATGAGCAGGAGAGAAAGAGAAAAGCTGAGACCAAGAGCAAGTGGTGTCGGGTTCGGCACCATGAGCCTCCTGAGAAATTCACCATCTGGCAGACCCCAGGCAGGCACCCAAGAAGAAAAGATTCACACACAGTGTTCTCAGGAGGGAGAGCGCACAGAGCTGGAAGCCAGGATGGCATGGATGCATGCTCTGGCTCTCTGGTACCAGCTGGGTGCCCAGGAAGACCTGAGGGCCACAGGGCAGCCCAGTGAGTCCCCAGAGCCCTCAACACAGCCATCAAAGGCAGGATGTACCCCAACCCAGCGTCCAACTTTCTTTACAACTGACCACAAGATTTCTATCCAGCCTTCAACCCTAGAAGCAGAGACTGCACCCCGAGCCCACACTTACTGAACTGAGGAGGGGCACCGTAGCCCTGGGGAAAGCCCTGCGGTGGGGGGAAACCTCCAGAGGGTGTAGACACGATGTAGGAAGTGAATGGTGGGGGCGGCGGGGGGGCTCCTCTGCCTGCAGGGGGCGGCCCATAGCCACCTGTAAGAGAGAGGGCAGGTGTGTACAGTGCAGGACACATGCTGCCCATAGCAGACGCACCCACCACCTGCACGGACTTACCGATTGCCTGTCCTGCTGGTACCCACATTCCTAGAGAGGAAATAGAAGAGGAGAGTTGGTGCCCCGTGAGGTCCCTCCCTCCCAGCCCGGACACCGTGCTCCCCAGCACAGCATCTGCCCTTCTGTCTGTCCCGCTCAGTACTAAGTGAGGGTCCTGTCTACGTGCACGGGCACAGACGCCCCAGCTCAAGGACCTGTGAGGTGTGGTCAGGAGACACCTACAAAGCTCTAGTTCTTGACTGCTGGTGGAGACAAGGCTGTGGGTGTCGGAGCTGGGCTCTATTTTCCAAAGAGGCTTTAAGAAGAAACAAGTTCCGAGAGCCAGCAGCTGTTTAGGGGACTGCCTCATAGGGGGATGAGCCCCTGCTCCCCTGGAAAGCCTTCGTGGGGCAGACTGGCTGCTTCAGGAGATCAGACAGGCCCATTCCCCACACCCCATTCAGTGACGAGCAGCCAGCCTGGTGTCCGGCAAAGCCACTGCACTGTGGGTCTGGAGACCATGGTCTGACGTGCTCACTCAGCTCTGGGCCTTCCTGGAGGCCCCAAGACCAGGCCCAAGGGGAAGAGTTCCAACCACCGGGCCATTGTGGTATGACCCAGTCCTCCCTGTGCTGGCCCAGAAAGCAGCCTGAACTGATGGCACCAGGCTTAGGGTTAGCCCCTTCCCACAGAGCTCCCCTACAGCACCGGCCACAAAGAAGCCTTAGGAACCGCAAGTGTCCGTTTGAATCATAGACTAATTGATCTGTGACCAAGTGCAACTAAAAATTGCTGATGGTTCATAAATACCACAGGATTAGCTTTTGTGTGGGTAAGAAACAGGTCCACACCAGTTCTGGGGTGGGTATGAGATTGGGGGGGTGGGAAATGCCCCACTTTTACCCCCGATGCTTCTGCATAACCCCAAGGACCTCTACGGCACCAACATCCTCAGTCAGGCTCCTGTCCAGGCTGGCCACATCACACGGGGCCTTACCTTGAGGGCCGTATCCTTGTTGCCACGTGGGCGGGGGCTGGCCAGCCCAGCCATTGGCAGCGTTAGGCACGATCCTGCTGCCCCACTGGCTAGCCCCCGGCTGGCCTGGTGTCTGGCTCTTGCTGTCACGAGGCTCTGCCCGCTTCACTTCCACCTAGACAAACCGAGCTGAGGTTTAGGGAGCAGCCGCGGCCCTGAACCCCTTTCCCGTCAGACACACCCGCAGGTAACTTACAACTACACTTAGCATCTTATAACTTAAGACTAAAGACTTAACTATAAACCTTATTTAGGCCGGTAGCTTTTTCTTTAAATAAAAATAAATAAAATAATAATGTATTTTTTCTTTTGCTTTAAAAAAAATAATAATACTAATGTTTCTCAGGTACAATGGGTGTAACTGGAAGCCACGCTGGTCCCTCATAGGGACAGGCCAAGTGCCAGGCCTTCAGGGCAGGGGCCTTCTGGGCACAGGGGCCGTGGTCTCCACCCACCCCCCTGGCCTTACCTGGACCTGGGCCACAAGGGCCAGAGCCCTGACTGGTACCACCAGGATACCTGGGGCTCCCCAAGCCCACCCCATTGCTAGCAATTTGAGCTTATACCTGAGAAACATGGCTGGTTTGTTTACTTAAGGTTTTTACTTCAAATGTCTAATGGAAGATAAAGACTTACCTTCCCCAAGCTAAGGCTTAAAGAATCTTAATTAACTCAAAACAATGTCAGAGGAAATGGATGTGATAGAATCTTACATTACATCTAACAAAAAGTAAACAAACATGCAATAAATGGACATTGGAATCAGTAAGCAATCTTCATACTGTGTTCGTCGGCAGCCCGGTCCTCCTCAGCCCAGGTGGAGGGCGCCCAGCACCTGGGGAGCAGGATGGGCAGCAGGGTGGACCTGGGGCCTGGACATGCCTGGCTTGTTTATGCCGAGGGCTGCGATCCCTTATAAGAGGAGCCAAGTTGCCTCCTGGATGCTCTGCTCTGAGTTTTCACAGGAAAGAGGATAAAGCTACCAAGACCCCGTGGAAGCATCTCAGGGGTTTCGTTGTCTGGCTCTACATTAGTAACTCATGATCCTGGCAGCTCGATCTGAAAACCCTTCCTGGAGGGCCGCTCTAGCTCCAGACCACGAGGACAAGGAAATGCTCATCACGGAAACCATGGGAGCAGGGGACCCATTCAGAGAGCTGTGATGGACCAGCCTTCACAAAAGCTCCTTAGGGGAGCTGCCCTCCACCCTCCCATGGGGAACCTCAGGCATGCCGGCAGTGGACACCCCAATTAACTGGAGGAGCCACCTAATCCACAGACTGGCTCCACCTGGAGAGGGGAGCCCAGAAGCTAGGTTATATTCAGTAAGGAGCAGAATTGGACATCACTGCTCCCAACAAATCCCGGGCCACCCCAGGGAGGCTCCCACACTGAGGAAGCTTCGTGTGCTCTGCGGAATCCTTCTTGCCCCCATGCTGGTCCCAACTGTGAACGTTTGTCAGAGGAGGCTGCCACGTCACGCAGCCTCCTCTGACCTTGGGTTCTGCGCGCCGCTGAGGTAAGCAAGCGCTGCTAGCTGGTCCTGTTGCAATGAGGTTCAAGTGCACAGACACTAGTATAAAAAGGACTGAGCACACACAATGCAGTGCCCCCTCAATATCTAACCCACAAGAACAGCCAGCCACCTGTCAGCAGGGTTGACACGTTAGACAGGGCTAGGAGAATGCTGACCAGGCCAAAGAAAGTGGTCAGTTTGGACTCTCAGGAGCTGGTTCAGCATCGCCGCTGCTGCCGGCATGCACTAGGCCAGCCTTAAAAGACTCAGGAGCCCTGCCAAGATACGGGAGCCCAGAGCTCCTGTAAACAGTCCCACCCAGGAGGACACCTACCCATAACTGGCTGGAAAGGACCACTAAGGGGGGGCCGCCTGCACCTGCCAGGGCTCCCTCTCCCCGCTCACCTTGTGGCAGCAACACAGTATGAAGATGAAACAACCCGGGGTCACTTCACTGCGTGGTGGTTAAATCTATCGAGAGCATGTGGTTGTACCGGACTTTCACAGTAAGTGACCCGATTTAAAAACACCAATCCTTCATGATGTTTACATTTCACTCGTTTTGACACAGGACCTCAGTTCTCCAAGGTCCTCTGCTTGTCCCGCCATTGGGCCAGGACTACACAATCTCATGAGATATACATCTGAAGGAGTGGTAACTGCAACCAAGCCTGAGGCAACGCCGTGGTCCCCCTGGGCCAGCCTGCCTGGGATTTGCTCATCCTGGGCACCCCATCCAGCTCCCCACTCCCGGTCCTCCCTGCAGGCAGCGGTCGGTCCCTGACTAGCCACCACTTCCCGGAGCCGAGGGCCTTGTAGCCAGGCTCGAGGCAGACTGTTGGCCTGGTCTCCTGAGAAGGGGCGTGGTCACCAGGGAAACCCCTAGGTTGCCTAAGACTTGGTTTGGTCTTAAGGTAAAATAAAACTACAACTACACACTTTTTTGCCCATGATGTCGTGAAAATGCATGTTGACAGCCTGGTCCACTGATTGTTCGTCCTCGAAAGTAATAAATCCAAAACCTAGCCAACGACGAAGAGTGAATCAAGGTAGCAGGGTGTTGTGACACAAAACAGGATGATGAACAGTATTAGGGACGGACCGAGGGATTGGCCCAGGTTTCAGCTAAGCATCATGTACACTGGGGCCTGAGGCACGGTCACCAGAGCTGTGCTCCTGCCAAGGCCAACATGCAGCAAACCAGGCTGCAACCAGGACTGGGGCCCACAGGCAGACGGAGCCACCTGCCACTGAGCAACGCAGCCCTGGTGACCTTGAACACTGGGGGCGGCAGCTGTCTAGAGCTCCGTGTTGAAACCACCTGCGGACAGAGGCTCATGTTTTGGAAAGAGTAAAGCAGTCAGGCCCGACTCCCAGTGCGTCCTCAACTGCTGACATGAGCGAGCGGGGAGTGGGGGAGCAAACACCAATGAAGAGGCCACTGCTAGAATGTTCCGGCTGGGGCCTGCTGAGCTCGCTCATGAGACCACCCGCACGCAGGTAAACATGTGAGGCGGGAGCCCTGCCTAGCCAGGTGTGGGCATCGTGCATGTCTCGGCTTCTCTGAAACCTAGGTCCTCCCCCTCGGCTTGCAATTTGCTTTGCAGCTAGTGCTGACAGCAGCAGATATCGTTCTAAAGCGGTTCACAGGACAGTTCTCTATCGAGTTAGTGTCTCACTATGCTTAACCAAAGTTCCACAGGACAGCTCTCTATGTACAGTTAGTGTCTCGCTAAGCTTATCCAACACTGTTGGTTAAGCCCACGGAGGCCTACCAGAGGTGATATACGTACGTAGATATGTGTATGTAGATATAGATAAATAAATAAATAAATATATAAATAGCTAAATATAGATATTTAAATAAGTAATTAAAGTACACAAAGATACAGGCCAAAACGGATTCCAGCAGGTCAAATTCTGCTGTCAGCAGCAAGAGCAAGAGGCATCATGTAATCAAAAAAGAAAAAATTTAAAGGAAAAACAATTTAGTGTCTCCCAAACACGAGAAGGTGGCAGTATAAACGAAGTTTGGTTGGTCTGGGCTGAGTGCGACCAGACTACAGGGCGGCTCATCCTCAGGGGCTACTTAGCAGAGAGGGCCGTGGATTCCCACCACCCAGACAGCAGACAGTGGCTGGCCGCAGGAAAACCAAGGATGGACGTGGCCGGAAGGCTAGGTGCCGAGCACAGTCTGTGGAGGGACCGTGTGGATGAGTTCACAGCATGAGGAAGGTGGCTGCAGCAGAGTGAGCACACAGTTGAGGGGTGCAGGAAGCCGACCAGTGCCCTCAGGCACACCAAGTGGGGCCAAACAGGACAAATGTGCAGAGCTGTGGGCAGGCGGAAGCAGGACCCACCAGGAGCAGAAAGGGCAAAGAGGCTGGTGAAGAACCACTGGGAATGGGTCTTGTTATGTACCCAACATGCACTCATGGCACCAGACAAGCACATGGACATCCACAAACAACGCAGAGCAAGCCTGAAGCTGCTTTGTGAAGAGGGCAGGCAGCCCCCTCGGAGACACAGCTGGACACAGGACCACGAGGGACAGAGCTGGGAAGCAGCAGGGCAGAGAGCTACGGTGAGGTCAAGTGAGGGCAAGGTAAGTCAGGGTGGCTAGGCGAGTGTGGGCAATCTGTGCTGGCACCGGGCCATCAACAAAGGAGACACATGGAGATGCTGACACACAAGAGACACATACACAACCCTGTGTGAGAAGTGTATCCCTGCTCTAACACCAGAGAGAGACAGGAGCGGGAGAGGGAACAGAGGAGAAGGTGACAGACAGCTCTAAGAGGCAGATGGGCCAAGAAAACAGGAAGGGGGCTTCTGGAATGCCCCTCATGGCTTGTGTGTGCTCTCTGAGGGGAGACCCCAGGGGCCTGAAGGTGAGGACGATGCAACCACACAGGAAGGAGCCGGGGCCCAGAGCCCAACAGCCCCCACTGATGTTCCCTGTGCTCTGGCTCCTCCTGCCCCAGGCAGCGGTATGGCCGAGGGTAAGGGCCAGCCCGGGCCGGTCCTAGCAGGCGTGGAGGGCTGGGAAGGAGTAGCACTTGGAGCTTCACAAGATCAGAGGTGACACTCGGAACAGAACACAGCTCGGTGATGAAACAACACATTCCAGACTGTAACATTGGCTCAAGTGAAGGAGTGTCTGAAACCACAGGCTCACGTGCTCCTGGTCCCTCTAACACGACAACAGTGTCAGAAGCGCCGAGTCCTGGGTTAAGGAGGCCCCTGGCGAGGAATGTCTAGGGACTGCATCTGTCGGAAGAGCCAACACACTGAAACTTCGTTTACACCCCACTGGAGCGAGCCCGTGCCCTCCTGACTGTGGACCTGGCCTGTACCTGTGTGATAGCATTTAGCACCTGGGGAAGAGAAATCTCAAGAGATCGTTAATCACACACAATGCAGAAAGAGAGGAAAACAACTTACTTAACAGTACTGTACTTTACTATAAAATACTTAAATAGGTCGCTAAGCACATACGTCTAAATTAAAATTAAGACTAAGACTTAACAGCTTAATCAACATGGAGTGGGGAGTACATTACTTCATCATGAAAACAGGGATGGAAGTTCAAATGGCAAACTATTCTCCAGCATGGCAGAGCATGCTGCGGCCGCGGCGGCGTTTGGCTCGGCTCAGCTCGGCTCAGCAGGCGAGGAGCTATCTCTGGATCCACCACAGAGACACTAAATGCGAGCACCAAAGACGAAAGGGTGGGGCAGATGGCAGCAGCTCTCAAAAGGGCCAGACGTCAGAACATCACCCAGCAGCGCACCCACCAGGGTGGCTCTGTACCTCCTGTCTGCCCCACTGATTCCAGGGCCCCCCAAAAACGAAAAGGAAACAAACAACAACAAAAATGAGGCGGCAGAAGGTGGGCTTCAAAAGCAGGGGTAGGGACACACCCACCGTTGGACTACACTAGTGCTAACTGAAAACAGAACTGTGAAGAAAAGAAACACAAATCTTCAATATACACTTAAAACCAGAAACCAGATTGAAAGTCACACTGAGTTGTAAAAATGCCAAATGGAGCTAAGAGGAGGTCGTGCCAGCCGGAGGTGGGTGCACGCAGGCCCTGACTCAGGATGGCTGCCGCGCCAGTGTCTGGGTGAGATAGTTTGCCATCTGAGGGAGGAGGTGGGAGGAAAAAGCTCAGGGACAAACAAGGTCTGCCTTTACCTCGAGGCCTCTGCTTCTCGGCATCATAGATCATCACCACCTCTGTGACCTGCCACAGAGAGAGCGAGTTAAGAGGGCCGAACTCCCCAAGAGCCGCTGAGCCTCTGCCCATTAGAATCACAGCTGTCTGTGAGGCTGCACTGAGCTCTGGTGTCCTGGTTGTGGGGTGGGGGGCTGCCTGACAAAGTACAACAGCCAGAGGGAAAGGGACACCAGGGCCCAACCCCCTGCCTGGCCCAGATGGCATCCTTCCCATTCACTGCAGAGAAAGGGGACCAAGACCACCCCGTCCCGATCTCCAACTGTGGCACCACATCCTGGCCCTCCTCTCCTGTGTCCCCAGCATGTCCCACATGCAACAGTGCTGTCTGCCAGACATCATTCCTCACAACATCAAAAACCAAATCACAGGAGAATGGTCTTCGTCACTGAACAACCATGAGGCGGAACAGGGATGTAAGGCTCCAGTGAAGGCCCAGGCAGTCCAGGGTGGCCAGAGAGGCTCCACAGAGCCCAGTTAAGAGCCAGGAAAGCGAGGCCCATCCCCTCTTCCACCCCAACCTGGGCCAGGCCAGAGCTCTCCTCTACAGGGCAGTAGTGGCCCCCATGCTTAGGGGTGGACCTGGAGACCGAGGGGCGAGGCTGCAGAGCCCAGACCAGCTCCGACGCTCGAGCTGAACCCTACTGCTGCTCAGATATGACCCTAACGCTTGGCACCCATGAACCAAACGTCAGGCCTGAGGAACAAAGGGACTCCCACAGAGGTATAAAGCGGGCGTGCAGGGAGGCTGCATCTCTGGTCTTTTCTTTACAGATGGAGGGAAAGGAAATACAGAATAGAGGGCTACCACATGCTTAAAAGTCCCCTAACAGATGGACCCACTACTGCTCCGAGAGGGTCAAGGAACAGCAAACAAACACATGTGCATGTGTGTGTGAGAGCGAGATGGGGAGAAGGGGGGTGTGTGTGACAGACGAAGGGGGAAAACCGGGGTGTGACGTGGGGGGGAAGACCAGATGATGTGTATGTGAGAGGGACAGGGGAGAATGAGGGTGGGGTGTGTGTGCGCGTGCATGTGAGTGAGAGAGAGAGAGAACATAAGAGAGACAGGGAAAGGCCTTCTAGGTCCCACCCACCAGTGGTGGCTACACAGAAAAGCACTCACCACTCCAAATTTCTTGAAGTACTCCCTGAGCTCTGTCTCACCACAGTTGTGAGGAATTCCACCGACAAATATTTTATTTGATTTACTGTTATCGCTCCTGGGTCCTTTCTGCTGTTTCAAAATGGAGACGGTAATTAGTTGGCTTGGGGCTGTGAGAACGACTTTGCCTGTGTTGTCATTGGTTCCCGTGGTCAGTAACAGCTGTCCCCTCCACCCCACACCAGAGAGACTGGCGTACGTAGCTATGGGGTGCTGACTACCACGGCCAGAAGACATAAGAGCCCACAGGGTGCAAACTGGCAGGTGAGCAACACAAGGTGGTACCATGATCAGTGGCGCAGAGACCCAGACCTTCCCTGAGCCCCAACTGTGCAGGGCTGCTTGGAGGCCACTGCTCCCCCTGTCCTTCCTTCTGGTCTCTCACCCCCAACCCCAGGACACCAGGCCCCAGGTCATCCTTGGTGTTCTGGTTTTATCCAGCTGTGGTTATGTTGTCTGTTTGTCAACATCCCCAAGTTTGCTGTTTGCCTACTGTATGTATCTCAAGGCAATTAAGAAGCTGAGAGACATCACCCAGCCAAGGGCACAGGGGTCTCGGTGGGACCCTAGTTTGAAGAGCGGCAGCCTGGGCAGGAAGAATGTGATCTCAACAGATGCGTCTGCAATTGGAGGTTAACAGAGACAGACTTGATGGATCAATCTGGCAGACTGACCACTGCTGAGCCCAGTGTGGAGGCAGTGCGGTGTACCAGGCAGAACAGCTCTCGAGTATAGGGGCACACCTCTGGCACACAACAGCCAGGTAACCCACACTGGACAACAGAGAACTTGGGAGCATCCACTAATGGCCAGTTTTAACAAGAGCTGCCATTCACACACGGCAGTGTAGGATGGATGCATGGCCCAGGAGTCAAAGAAGGGTTACCACCAAGGAGAGACTAGAGAGGGTGCTGGAAATAAGAGAGGGAGAAAGGAGTGTTGCACCACCGAGAGGGTCGGTCACTTGTGGACGAATGGGCGTCTTCTGGACTAGGAGACACTGAGGCTGATGGCTCAACCCGAGCCACCCTGCACTGCTCCAGTGTCAACAACAGAGACTTCTGTCAGGAAATCTCCCTCTCCCGTAGGCAAGCTTCTTACCCAGCCTTCCTTGGGCCGTGTCCTTTCCGGCTGCATCCCCCGGGGTGTGCATGGCTTTGGGTCGATCTATGGGAAGGGTCAAACCAGGCACCGTGAATAGGAAACTCTCTGCTTTCGGAGAGCCGTAGCCAGCAGGACACACCCACCCAGAGACCACGTTAAAGGAACCAAAGGAGGAGTAAAGAGGCAGGAGAGGAGCCTTACATTCCGACCATCCAGGGTGTGTGGTCTGCTGGCCAGCACCGTCCCCACACAGTTTGGGTCTTTGAATTTCACAAAGCCAAAACCTCGTGACTGGTTGGTGGTTTTGTCCTTCATAATAACACAGTCCACAACTTCTCCATATTGGGAAAAGTAGCTGCGCAGCGTCTCTGCTCAGAGAATGGGGGCAGAAACACAAACACACACAACCAGAGGGTTACGCCAAGTCTCACGGTGGACGTGACGCGCACAGGCATGCACTAATCCAAATCTCATGGTGGACATGACACATACAGGCACGTGCTCTCTCTCCTAGTATCAGCCTTACCTGAACAGGGTGCACCTAGCAGCCTGAGACACGAGGGGGTAAAGGAGGGTCGTGTTTGCGTCCATTCAGGAGATTACCAGGTCGACATCACACACTCCCCCTCGCGGTTCCGAACCCCAAAGCCTTCTGTGCACCTACAGGCCTCTTGCCTCCAAACCTACCTGGCCTGTAGCTAGGAACCCGTCATCCAAACTCTTCCCTGGAACGCGGACATGAAATGAAAACCAAGTCCAACAATTCCAAAGGACACGACAGTCCCAATTCAACGCCCTCAAAAGGAAGACACCGTCACAGGACTGCATTCACACAACTCAAGGACCAAGGCACACTGGGAACACAGACACTGCTTGCACCTACCTTGGGTCGTGCTCCAATCCAGACCACCCACGAAGAGCTTCCTACAACACAAACAAGTGTCAGAGCCTGGGCCTCAGAGTCTCTCTTACAGTCCCCAGCAGGGTGACTGCAGACAGAAGCCACAGCCAGCACCATGGGGACATTAACGTTTGCAGCGTGCCACGTGGAAACCCCAGGACTGTATATAAAGGCCCATCGCTGAACAAGGCTAGGACAGCTCTGAGGGAGGGTCCCAGCATTTCCACACATTTCACTATCCAGACAATCTGGAAGAGTCTGGCTCGGAGCGAAAATGCAGGACACATAAGGGTCACAAACACAGAAAACACTAGGCGCATGCGCACACACGTAGAAAACGAGGCAGGCATGTACACACACACCACACACACACACACAGAAGAGAAGCCAGATCACAGGCAATCTCTGAATGACACTCCACAGAACTAGAGCCCACCACTGGCCCTGCAGCCTTCATGACCCCCTCTGGTCTGAGTCCAGGGTAGGGATGTCTGTCCCTCCATAGCCTTGGTCAGCAAACTGCGATGTTGTTCATCTTGGGGAGGGCGCCTCACACACCCACTCAGTCATGCCCACAGTGGGTGGTGGGCAGGATAGAAAATGAAAGTTGCTCGGAGGGTAGAGTGACCAGCACCCTGGCTGAGTTGGAAGCCAGGTGCCAAATGAGTGGTCTTTCCAGCTGCTGAGCAGACCTCAGGGCCAACCCTTGCCCAGCCCCATGTGTGTAGCCCCACACCACACAAAGGCCCTCAGGGGATTGTGGGAGGTGCACCCTTGTCCTGTGCCACAGCCAAACTAGCACTACATGAAACACATGTGTGCATGCACTCACACCATACAAGGGGAGTGAGTATTGGGCCTGGGTAAGGGCACATCCACTGACCAATCCTGTGTAAATATCCTGGTCTTGAAGGCCAAAGGATTGAGAAGTGGCCTTGGACACAGCCCTGTACCGTCTCCCAGATGGGCATCACTCCTGCCCTGACCCCCAAACCCACTGTGAAGTAGTGAATGACCTCACAGATCCCCCCTTCTAGCCACAGTGCTTGGAACCCCACTCCACTAAGTTAGTGGGACTATGTACCCGAGGAGCTCTGGGAGCGCAGTGCGCAGTGGGTACAAATCGGGCTGCGAACCACAAGGTCAGCAGTTCAAAACTACCAGCTGTTCCGCAGGAGAAAGATGAGGCTTTCTGCTCCCATAAAGATTTAGTCTCGGAAACCCAGTACAGGGTCACTATGAGTCCAAATCAACTCCACGGTACACAGCCCCCAGCCACCATGTACGTGAGATGTTCAGAGCCCACCCACAAAACTATCAGTGATGTGTGTGGTAGCCTTGAGGGGTCAGTGCTGCTGCTGTTACTGTTAAATGCTACTGAGTAGGTTTCAACTCGTAGCACCTCGTGTAGGATGCAGAGTTTCTGAAAGGTGGACCTTGCAAACCCTACTGAGGGGCTTGCTCAGTTTTACCATCCTGTGAGGCTTACAATGAGCCATGCTAGTGGCACGAAGAGGGCAGTTCATGACCATCAAGAAAACAGGAGCAGAGCCCACCCTTTGTACTTGGGGTCCCTGTACTGAGAACCTCCTAGACTCAGGTTGACAAGGCTGTAATGCCAGAGAGCTGACTAGAAGCAGCTGAAACAGAACCAGCTGACTGGCAGGACATAACACAGTCGAGGCTTCCTCCCTGGGCCAGAGGCTGGTTGGCCAAGTGGGACAGCTCGGGTAGTTATTAGCACAGCTGAAGGGCCGAAAGCCCAGAGAGGAACAGAGGCAAGCCTGCCTAAGGGCATGGCTGAGACCAGACTGTCGGGATCAAACTGTACCCAATGTTCCTCAACCTGAACTCTAACCTGTTATTTCCCTAACAAACCCCATGACTGAGGTTGGTGAGTTCTGAGTGGCCAGTGCTACACATTATTTAGCCCAACAGAAAATGCGTGGGAGGGACAGGTGGTATCAGAATTGCTCCCACCCCCCAAAAAAAGGCTAGAAAGTGGCGCTTATCTGATGACCACAGGGATTAGCCTTGGGGCTGCTAAGCCACCACTGCCCCTGCTCTACAAACTCCAGGGTGACCATACAGTGGCTGCACCAGGAAATGAGGCCTCTGAGGGCTTCCTGTGCGCCTGCGCGGACCCCCACTGGAACCGAGGGACCGTCTCCCAGGCAGCACTTGGCATGTTTCCCAGAGTGTAAGGCCTGCCGCACCCCGGGCTCAGGCAGCCTTCGGCCTCTCAGGGCCACACTGGGCCTTACGTCCTGTGAGCCAGCACAGCCGTGGGCTGCCAGGCCGAGAGCAACCACCATTGCCCTCCAGGCCTCCACACAGCCTCGTCTAAGGTAGGAAGGAAGCAAAAGGACTGCGCGCCATTGAGACACTTCCCAAGGAACCTAAGACACAGAGCCTCGTTCCCCGTAGGAAGCAGGCCCAGGCTGGAAACCCTCACCTCACACCGAGGCCCTGAGGGTCTGTCAACACGTTCTCTTCTTTTGACCCGCTCCCCCTCCGGCCCCCACCCCCACCCCCGTGACTGTGGAAGCCCAGAGCACTCAGAAGCCCCCCCACGGACTGCTGTGGACCCTGAAGGCAAAGCTCTGGGCCTGGCCATTCCAGGGGACTCTAAGCCCCACCTGCACACCTGACCACCACCCAGCTGTGCCCCAGCAATGGCGAGTCTGAGAGGACTGAGGACAAAGACAAAGACAATAGAACAGCATCTGTGAGGCTAGCTACAGGAGCCGCAGCTGGGCCAAGCCCAGGATTCTGCCTGGGTCACAAGGAACAGAGGACCCCATGTCTGGAGCCAACTCCTCAAAAGGGCCACAAGCAGAGTGGAAGGAGGGGCTCCAGGACTGGCCCCTCCCCTCCCCAGGTAACTCTAGGCAAGCCCTCTCCGGACATGCAGAGGGCACAAAACGTCCTGGCCCTGGCATGGGCCTCAGTGCCCCCATCCTGCTCATGGGGAGAGAAAGCCTCAGCACTCAGGAGCCAGGACTGGTAATGACTGGGCAATAACGCCAACGTGTCCCACGTCACTAAATCCCCCAGGTGAAGACTGTTAAAAGAATGAAGACAACAGTCACGGGAAACGGCTCAGGAAAGCGCAGAGCACCATGGGCAGTGTCTGGGGTTCACACAACACCGGACACAATCACAAGGGCCGTACATACACAGAGCCGGAGCAGACAGCGGGTTCTCTCTCACTGACGGGGGATTTCTGAGGCCATTCGGGTCATCCGGACTGGGGGGGGGCATTGAGTGGGTGGAGAACAATTCCCCTGTCTCAGCTGTGCCATGGGGAGACCCTGCTCCCGTGGCCATGTCTTGCCAACACCCTCCAGAAACCACAATGCCCACCACTCTGGCTTCTGGCCACTTTGCTCCCTGATCACCCACATTGAGACCCCGGGGGGTGGGGACGACACCCTCCACTCTTCCTCATCCCCAGCAGCCTTCCCCACTCCAGCTGACCTGCTCTGCAGGGATGCCCAGCGCCACATAGGAGCAGCACCATGTGGCTCAGTGGGCACCTGAGGTCACCTGTGACCCCCTCTCCCCATGACACAAAGGAGCGCCGCCCCTACCCAGGCACCAGGCTCCCAGCAGACACTAACATGACACCAGAGGGACCGTGGGGTTCAAGGAGGCAGGGACCTGCAAGGATCTGGCCCTGGGAGCAACCAGAGACCCTCCCAAGTGTCCCTTCAAGGTCACGTGGCTGCATCGGCTCCTTGGTAAGCCAGGTGAGCAGGGACACGCAGGGGACGGTGCCCACCGTCAGGCCCCTGGGTGCTCAGGGCAGCCCCGTGCCGACACACTTCAGCCCCTGACCCGGGTCCAGGGCGGGCACCGCAGCTCAGCACCTCTGCCCCCCACTTCCCAGGACGCGCCGCCCGCTCACACCTATCACCCACCCCGGCCCGGCGGGCTCACATGGTCCCCCGTCGGCGGGGACAGGCCTCAGGCGGCCCGGCCCGCCCGCCACGTGCGCCGGCGGGAGGCTCCCGGGACCCACCGTTCGGTGCCCCATAACGAGGAGTCAACGAGGGCTCCCCCTCGGGGTGTACCCACGTCAGGAAGACGGAAGAGCTCCGGATCCCCCCAAGAGCATCGGTTCGGGGCTCTCTACAGCCTGGAAGCGACAGGGACGCCCCGGAGTCCCAAAGGCTCCGATTAGGGGTCCCCAAAGCGGGAAGTGCAGAAAGAGCGCCCCAGGCCCCCAAGGGTACCCGTTCGGGGTCCGCTACAGACCGGAAGTTTGAAAAGGAGACCCAGACCCCCCTCAGAGCCTCCCGCTCAGGTTCCCCCCCCCCCCCCCCCGTGAGGAAGCCGGGAAGCGGCGGGGACGCCCCGGACCATTCGAGGGCGCCTTTCGGGACCCCCCAGCCTAGAAGTTAGGGCTCGGACACCCCGGACCGCTGTCTTCCGATCCCCAGCCGGAGTGACCTTGACAGGGCGGCGTTTCGCGGGCCGGGGCGGCGGCGACGGCCCAGCGCCCGCCAGTCCTCACCCGATCTCGTCGGCGCCCGAGTTATTCATGGCGGCGGTGGCGGCGCTCGGCGTCCCCGGGCCTCCTAGCTCGCTCCCGCCTCCGGAAGGTCACCCGCCCGTCGCCCTCTCCACAGCCGCGGCCCGGATCTGCGCAACGGCGGCGGTGGCGGCGGCGGCTGCTACCTCCTCCCCTAAGCGCCAACGGTCACCGCGCGTCCCCGCGCCCGCGCCGCCGCCCTGCGCACGCCCGGGCGCGCTCCCGCACGGGGCCGCCGGGGGCGGGGCCAGGGGTGCGGCGTGCGTGCGAGCGAGAAAGCGTGCGACGTCCGTACGTGCTTGAGGGGCTGTGCCGCCAAGTCGCGGCCGCTGCGCGCCGGGCTTGCTCGGGAGCGGCTGCATACGTCGCCGCGGAGCACGCTGGAAAGTGGAGTCCGACGTTCTGGCCCTGACTCCTCATGGGGAGGGGCACACGGCAGGGCCGAGCCACGTGCGGGCGCGTGAGGATGTACGTGCGCGGCAGCGGAATGCGCGTGAACGAGCGCGCGGGCTGGCGCTCTGGGCTAGGCACCGCGGAGAGCAGCGCCACTTCCGTTTCCTCTTTGACTCTGGTCGGAAGTCATCACGGCGTGTGGCCTGAGCTGCCGAAGAAATCCTTTTCCCGACGCCACGTGGCCATACAAAGCATCACCAGCTCGTTCATTTCTGCGCCTTCGCCACTCCTGTTGCCCCCATTTCATAGAAGAGGAAACCGAGGGTCAGAGAGGCCCAAGGTCACTCTGAAGTCACGAATTCAGTGAATAGCCACACATAATGATTGAGCCCCTATTATGTGTCAAATTCTATTTTAGTTCCTGCCTTCGGTGGTCTACACCAGTAGTTTTTAACGGAGGACAGCCTGAACCCAGAGAACATGGGATGTTTGATGACCTTTTTGGTTTTCATGATTAGGAGGTGCTAAAGCATCCAGTGAGTGGATTCCGGGGATGCTGCTCAAAACCCTGCACAGTACACAAGACAGCCCCACCCCCAGAGAATTTAAGACCCGATCCTCACTGACAATACTAAATAGACGCGGAGGAGTCAGATCTGACTTGAGGAACGGCTGGTGGGTTTATCCTAACACCACACCAGGACGCCCAACAATTGCTGCTTTAGTAACTTTCAACTCGCCAGTCTCTTGGTGGCCTGGTGATTTAATTTATTCTTCATCATTAAATACTAGGACTGAAGAAACAAGCAAATAGTGAACAAGGAAACATGTTTAAAATACACCTCACCTACTTGGCAGTTTGCAAAGCACTTGGGTATGTATATAATCAGAGATAACAACCACTAGAAGTAATTGTTATTAGAAGTCATTTATCCAAAAGAAATTAAAGGAGTCAACTATTAACCCCATGCATGACAAGATAAAACTGTCCTCCATGGGGTTTTCAATGACTCATCTTTCTGAAAAAGATAGTGAGACCTTTCATCTGCAGCACTTCTGGGTGAACTCAAATCTTCAACATTTGAGCTAGCAGTCAAAAGTGTTAACCATCTGGTCCAACCACTCTGGAAAGCAATACAGCACTCCCTCAGAAGGTTGGAAATAGAAATACCTATGATCCAGCAATTCTTCTACTTGGTATCTACCCACAAGAAATACGAGCTATAACATGAGTAGATGTATGCACACCAATGTTCATAGAAGCATTATTTACAATAGCAAAAAGACGGAGACAGCCAAAGTGCCCATCAATTGAAGAATGGAGACTCCAAACAAACTGTGGTACATACACACAATGGAATACTATGCTACCTTGAAGAACAACAAGGAAGCGGCAAGCCACCGCATAACATGGATGAACCTTGGGGACATTATGCTGAGTGAAATTAGTCAGTCACAAAAGGAGAAATACTGCATAGAACCATGATTGTAAAAAATTAAGAAAAAGAATGCACCCTAAAAGGGGGGGGGATTATATATATATTTGCTGATCACCGGGATGTATGGGATGAGGTGAGGGAAGGGAGAGAGGGGAAGATAGAGCATAGAGTAAGGAATAGACACAGGATAGCTTGGGTGCTGGGAGGGGGGGGATACACAAGAAGGGTGAGGGGAATGGAAGAACAAGGCTGATGGGAGAACAGTTAGGCAGGTTCGTATGGGCAAAGTAGGACACTTGGAACTACAAGGCTCCGGGATACAGGGTTTGAGGCAAGGCTGGAATGGGTAAAAGAGGGGAATAATGTTAAGATGCTTGGCTGTCTTTTGAATCTTGGTTTCCCTTGCCTATCATTGTAAAATAGACATTTGAGGGGAAGAGAAAGGAATAGCCAGAAACATCACTATAGAAAGCTTGTAAGTCCGTCTTCAGCCTATAATTGATTGGAATACCTTAAAGGGGCTAGAAGTGAAGGAGGCTTCCTGTGGAGCCTTAACTTTGCATAATACCATAGGTGGAATCCTGAACCCCATCCAGAATCATCAGAGGTGGGAAATTTCCACTTGAGAAGACGGGCAGACCGGCCTGGAGCTGCTAGAAGAACAGAAAATACTTTGTGAAAGAAAGACCGACCGGCAGGATAAAATAAAAAACAGTAGCGGCAGCCTGATTGACTACTACAAGAACAAGCAAGCTGTTCACCCGGGAGCCATCAAGGCAAGTGGTCGGGTCCCCTCAGAGCAAACCCCCTTCCAAGACTGAAACTCAGGGGAATACACGAGCAGGCATGCTGACCATGTTGGTCACCGCTAAGGGGAAGAGGGGGAAAAACAGCAATGAAGTTGGGAGCTGGGTCCGACCACATTCAATAGACTCCTGTGAGCCCAGATGGAGACCTGGTTGGCCAGCAATATGGCAAGACCCGGGGACTCCTGGGCCCAGAGGCAGTGACATGGCCACAGAGGACTAGAGCAGAGAGTGAAGCATCCAGCTGATGTGAAGTGAGGGGATATGCACAGGAGCACCCATACTTGCAGATAGTACCCACTTGACCTGGCTTCAATGGCTGAATGATCAGAACTCGACTAGAAGATAAAGAAGAGGAAAAAAGAAAAGCGTCTCATCTGCTACATTTGATGAACTTTACCTGTACTTATGGATGTATATTGTTGTTGTTAAGTACCATGGAGTCGGTTCCAACTCATAGTGACCCCGCACAGGGTTTCCGAGGCTGTAAATCTTTATGGGCGCAGAACGCCTCATCTTTCTCCCATGGAACCCCTGGTAGTTTCGAACTGCTGACCTTGAAGTTGGCAGCCCGACTTGTAACCACTATGCTACCAGAGCTCCTTTATGGATGTATAGATAAAGCTCAAAAAAGGGAACAAACTGAGGAATTCGCACTGAC